TCAGCCCAAGCTCTCGCCAGAGAGCCACAGCGTGTCACTGCGTATTTTATCTCAAAATACTGTGCTCTAAGCATCTCCTAACGTTTAGTTCTGTTTGGCAGGATGTGACAAAGAAACTTGGCAATGAAGCAGCTGCGACAAGCCAAACAAGTCTCCAGTGTTCCGTTGAAGAAGCATACATGGCATTGCCAGTGTCTCCAGGCTCGCGCCCAAGCAATCCTTTAGGAAGAGAATCTCTTCCTCAGGAAACAAACGGGAGAGGGTTCAAAATTCAATGAGCTTTGTGCATCTTCACACATCTTCCAAAAAAGATGCATAAGCCTGCTATGTTCACGTGGTTGCTGGAGAGTTGCTTAATTATATTTGGGCAAACCAAGCGCAACAACAACTGGATCAATTGAAGGCAAGCAAGGCTATGCGGCTATCCCTGGCCACCAAGCTACCACCTGAACTTCAAGCTCTGGTCTTTCTACAAGTCGATCTAGGATGCCTCGCGCTACATCCTTCAGTGTTGCAGAAGGACCTGCCTGGTGATGGCGGCAGCGATTAAGTCTGTGGCTGAAGACTTCCAGGAAGCAAAGCTTGCGAAGTGTTGGCAAGACTTGGCAAGTTTAGACAGTTCAAACACAAAAATTCTGCTCCAAGGCGCCTTAGCAAGCATTTCATTCACACCATCAGTGTCAGGAATGTTAGGGGCTTGTCCGACAGAGATGCTGCGCACTACCTGCAGATGAGGCCTGAGAGGGAAGCTTGGAGTCACAACATGTCACAACATGTCACAACATGTCACGACATGTCACAACATGTCACAAGATATGACAAGCCTTTTGCCACAACTACCTAGCAAACTACAACTTTGGGAGCAAACGGTACTCGCAAATTGTACTTATATAATGGAACGGGATTGAACTGACAGGCGATGTTTTGCCAGTTTGTGATGTTCAGTCGAGGGCTCCAAATCAGAACCTAGACCTAGATGAAATAAGATATGAAATAAGAATAAATAAGATGTGAAATAAGATTGAAACATATGAAATAAGATATGAAATGGGATATGAAATGAGATATGAAATAAGATGAATTTGCCAGACCCAAACTGTTTGGTCAAAGAGTCTTCCCGAGTTTGTTCATCGGGGCCGGCTCTGTGTAGAATCTCTGTATCGGTCGCCGCACCGTCATGGCGGCCGCCCTGCCCCTTTTTGGGGCACTTTGGCTTCGTGGCGGTCACACAAAAGCGGAACCCAGTTACAACGAAAGCGAACGAAAGCGCCAAAAGGTGCCAAGGACGTGCGAGAAACTGTCACACAGCACAAGTGGGAATGGAGTACTGAGTAGGAGCAATGCAACAGAAGAGTGTTAGCAAAAGGTGGGGTCAAAGAGTCAGAAGCTGACAAGTGATATCTGTATGTTGTTGCAGTATATTGGCCTAGGTCTTGATAAGTGCAATCTGCTGAATGCTCTTTGCACATCCCTTAATACGCTGACCACCCGGTCCAAGGCTAAAGGCCTGCTAATGAATGCGCTGCATGCTCAAAGTTCTGACTGTAGTTCCAGTGCATCAAGTTCTCCTAAAAGCATGGTGGTTCTGCCTGCACCTACACCCTTCTTCGCGACACCATTCCTTCAATCTGATCCTGAATATAGTCGGCGGCATGGTCATTCATGAAATTCATGGATGCGCCAGAAAAATCAATGAAATGAAACATTTGCCGACGTTCAATGAATTGATCTGCAGTGATCTGCCAGGAGAATTCCACCACTTTCCAATCTCTGCTATGGGAAACTTCTGCCCCAACACACTCGAATCTGCTCTACAGTCAGAGCCCGAAAGTGCAGACCTCACGGCCTCTGACGACCTCTGCTTGCTTCGAAGCTTAAATGTCCATTTGACATTTTTAAAGTCTTCGGCCACAATGGCCACTGAATTTTGCCGCAAATTGTGCCAAGCACATGCATTGCATAGGCACGGCACCAAAACCTACTACAAACATCCAAAATTTAATGCCTCAGGAATTTGGGCATTAGCAAGTCAGGTGATCCTAACACTGCTGTTGAACGAATTCAAATTGCATTCACACTGAAGACAACACTTGAAGGTATCCCTTTGTGTGGGTTGGCACGGAAGCTTTCTCAAATTCGAAGCGGAAATGGCAAACCTCAGGCGATCGCTGGCACCAGAGAAGGCTTCAACAGAGTGAAATCCACCCAACCGCCACTCCAAAACAAGAAGTGACTTAGAGTGGCGTTTTGAATATGGCATTCAGTCAGAATCATCAATCAAACATAATCAAACACCATATTCAAAACTCAATGCTAGCAAGCAGCCTTCGACAGCAAAGTCCTGTAAGCAAGATCATCAGCAAACGCCAAAGGTCTACAATGCAAGAGTCGACAATGATAACTGATAGAACTAGACGCACCAAATGGAAGTAGGACAACACATGTGGCACTGTCAGTCTCAATGACGCAATTCCTTGCTGTAGGCTCCACGAAATGAGGATCAAGTGAACACTTTGATATACTTTGATATGTTTCTATAGATTCTATACTTTGATTGCCAGCAAAGCCACGTAAAACTGCACTGATTCACCGCAAAGATCTGGATTATCTTCTTGGCATGGTCCCAAATGATCAGCACCCTGGCCATCCATCCACAGCATATCTGGGGCGCTCCAGTAGCTGACAATTGGTGTCATACCTTTCTCTAAGGCTTCTGTCAGCTCATCTGCGCTGGAGCGCCCGTTGAAGTGATAAGAATCCATCTCGACTGAAGCCTCCAAAGTGCACCCATCCTGTGACACTTTGGTGATCATCGCTTGTAGTTTTACTTTGCCATTCACGTTGTTGACAGGAAAGCTAACCTCCACGCGGAACGGATTGTTGGTGTTGATGCAGCTGGAACCTGGACCATACTGCTCCTTGGTCCAGTCACGATGTGAATTCCATCCTGATCCACCACCACCGTAGCCAAGGCCTACCCCTGAACCGTCCTCAGCCATATGGAGAACAGAGTGGAAAGCATGTTTGTTCGCCTCTTGCAAGTCAATCTCGGAACATCTTACTCCACATACACTGTTGGCATCACAGTAAAAGTCCTTGCATCCTGAGACTTGAGAGTTTTGAGGCAACGATGCCAAATAAAAGGCAGCATTGCAACCACAACCTGCTGCTGCCACATTGGTAGTCCAGCTAATCCGTTTATTGAGGAGATTCAGCTCTGCATAGCGGTTCTGAGAAAAGCTGCCAGGAACACAAGAATTCGAAAAATAGGTTCGTCCTTTCATTTGCACGCTAATGACTCCATTGTTCACTTCAACCTCGCCCGCTGGGTCGTATGGTTTGTTCCAGAATGCATTCGTCATCTGGATGGAACCTCAGATGTCAAATCGGCTTTTATCATTTTTTTTGTTTATCCGTTTATCCAGTCTTTTGGCTGTGTGCCTTCTGAATCTTTTGAACCTCTGAGCACAGTTGTGCACAGGTGTTTCAGCCATGATGCCATGTCCACTGAGTCCAATGGAGCCAGGACAGACGGCGCCTTCAGTTCCTGCACCACTGAGATGTGACTGGCGTCAGTGATACACTCAAGCAAGTCTCAGAAAGTCTCAGAAAGTCTCAGAAAGTCTCAGCAAGTCTCAGCTCCCACTCGCTCCCCCGATGCTTTTTCGAAAAAAAAAAAAAAGGTTTTCGATGCTCCCAGCCTGGCCAGGCACCTCGCAAGGTCGCATTCATTGAGCTTGCCACTGCCACATCGAGCAAAAGGCCTGTGACGATACTCATTCCTCAGAATAAGGGCCAATTTATGACGTGGCGACGCAACAGCACAGAGTCGGCAAGGCAACCAGAGAAGCACATGTCTCCAAGAAAAATGCTGCCAAGAGGCGACGTGTCATGGCAAGAACCAAAAAGTATCAGGGTATCACGTTTGTGTCTCGTGGAATTTGAGCCCAAAAATGGCTGCCACAGGCTGCACCATGTCTTGGGCCAGCCTCAGCTATAACAGAATCAAATGAAGAACAAATCAACGAACGGAAGACTAGGAAGATCAGAAGGACAAGAAGTGACAAGAAGCTTCAAAAACCGCGCGACTGAAACTTTTCTGAACCGCCTCAAGCATTCGTGCCCGCACGGTCAGCGCCCAGGATGTCGTCCCTGACAGCATTGAAGACATCAACCCTTCCCACCCCTTACGCATAGTGTGGGTAAAAAACGGAAAGGAATAGGACATGACATATTTCCGTATATCGTATATCGTGCACATATATATAAATATATTTATATTTATATTTATATTTATATTTATATTTATATGTGTGTGTGTGTGCTTTGTCTATTTATATATCATATGGTGGATAGTTCCCAGTCGTACAATATGGCATGACAACCTTGAAAACTTCAAGCCTATTCCAATATAGTTCAAGCATAGTTCAGTTCTGTTTTCGATGCAGGGGACCACCAGCCACCTTTGCTCAGGTGTAGCTGGGATTTGCTTCGTTGACATGCTAGGAATAAAGCTGTACGAAGAGAGAGCAAAAAGGAAGAGACAGGGAGGAAGTTTAACATCATTTCAGAGGTCGCGCACATTGTTCTACATGGCTCTACATGCGAATGTTTTCCACATGTACCTGTGTGGCCGTGGGGCCGGCCGAGCAAATACTATATTCCTTACTGCAAATAATGGAGGCAAAATCGAATGGGCTACAATGATGATTGTAGCCAAGCAGTGGTCGGGCATGGTGATTCCGCCCCAAATTGAGGCCCTGGATCTTTAAAACCTTGGCAAGAGTGGTCTTAATCATCGACTGAGCTGACAGTTTCTGAGATACCCCTTGCCTCCAGTCGAGGAGTGGACATGTCCTCAAGGATTTAGCTGCAATTGGTGCATGCAGGTTCATCGCTAATCAATATGTTTCAACTTTTGACTGGGTATTACGGTAAGGATCAAAAATGGAGTACCAATGGACCCACCAAATTGGTAAACTTTCATGGGGTGTTATTCT